TTTATTTTAAATAACAATAAATAGTATTATATATTACTATATTATATATAATATTTAACAATTATTTAAAAATATATAATGACTATATAATATAGATATTATTTATAATGGGTTTATATATTAAGTATTCAAATCTTTTTTAATTTAAAAATGCCCAGACCTAACTATGCCATTCTCCTACAATGTGGCGAAGGTTACAAAAGCTTGGAGTGAAGGGACCAAGGACCCAAACAAGGTTTAACAAAGCTTGTGACCAGTTGAGCTGAGAAATTATTCATCTCCATGAAAGCAGCACTTCACAGCTCTGCTGTTTGTGCAGAAGTCAAAGGGTGCGTGATTTTCAGAAGACAGGGAGGTGAAACACCGGGGACAGATCTGGAGCAGATTAAGGATGGATGTGTCTTTGATGCACACTGACAGCCCTGCTTAAGATGGGCATTAATACATAAGTGTGCGATGATCAAAACGACCGCTCTCTCAGCCCAAGTGAGAGCTGATTGCATTATGGCTCATCAAAACTGTGCATTTACAAGTAGACAAGGACATTATGGCGGTTCTGTTTAAAGGCATCTGTAGCTTCACTTCAGAGTTTCTGTGTTTGGTGTCAAGGTAAAAAGAACCTCCTGAAGAGTTAGTATGAGACCGTTGAGTGCAATCTGAGAGGAGAGATATCCTGAACATTTGATCCACTTCCACCTCTGACCTGGTGTGTTGCATGTCCACAGATCATGATCGGAGAGGGGATTCTGTTCTGCTGTCTGTCCCGAGCGCAGTGCAGAGGAGGAGCTGAAGCCGATATCAACGCCGCCGGCTGCAACTTTAACTCTTTCGTCCGGCGAGGTGTCAGGTTTGTGGGTAGGTCACATTTCTTGTAGATATCTTTCGTTCACTCCTGATTAGCCTTTATTCCGTTACCTGTGATTAGGGCCCACATGGAATGTAGAATTTTTTTGAAGCAGAATTCTTTGAAATGACTACCAGTAAAATTGCTAAATATTTGGGACCAAAAATTATTTACAATTTGACCTGACCATGTTTTGCTTAAGTGTTTTTCTTTAATTGCTAATGCGACCTTTTTACACCACAGACTGACAGCTATTCAACCTAATCTATTACATACCTTTCTATCAAAGTTATCTGACATTATCAAGGTGAAGTTGTTCTGACACAGTTTAAGTCATATGTTATTACCATTTTCTAAACCAGTGTTTCCCAACCTTTTTTAGTCGCGGCACCCTTTGGAAATTTTAACAAACTTGTGGCACCCTACAACATTAATTCTGTCACAATATTTGAATTTCTAACTTCGATATGATAATTTGAAAAGTATAGATATTCGGTACAACAGGGAAGAACTGCAGAATATAATGTCATACAGGCCGCGGCACCCCGGTTGGGAAACACTGTTCTAAACTATAGCAAATAAACCGTGATAATGTGAGAAATGTTGAAGGTGTCTGAATACATTTTGGTTTGACTGTACGTTTTTCCCTTTTAAAGTTTTCACACAAAACACAGATTGATATTTAATATCAACCCGATCGCACGGCAATTCGTACAGTTTTGACAAGGTGGCTAATTCATATGAATTCGTACAACCTCACTCACGAATTCATACAATTTGTGAAAAATCGTAGGTATTTTATGAGGTGGCAAATTCGTAGGAAGGACCAGACCTAACCCCGCCCCAAAATTTAACCGTCACAGAAATCGTACAAAATCGTACGAGTGAGGTCATACGAATTCGTACAAATTAGCCACCACGTAAAATACATACAAATTGGCAGTGAGATAGCGTTGGTCATATCAGCCAACGTATTGTTTATCAACTTGAATAAATATCAGTGCATCACATTCAGTGTCTTTTTCCTTTCAGGCGTTCATGTGTTTGGTTTATGCGCCACGGCTTTGATTACCGACATCATCCAGTTGTCGACAGGTTACCCCACCCCCTACTTCCTGACTGTCTGCAAGCCCAACTACACTCACCTCAATACCTCCTGTGACGAAAGTTTCTTCATCCTGGAGGACATCTGCTCAGGATCTGACGCCGCTGTCATCAACGCTGGCAGGTACGGCTCTGATTCATGGCGAACCGGGACCTAGATCCCTGTTGAATTAACAGTGCCACAGTCATGTGAAACATAGATTATCTTAACCCCCGCTGATACAGACAAGTTGATAAAAAAGTCTTGAAATATTACTCAAGTGTGAACTCCTGATACTCATACGAACGAAACAGGCACAAGAGCCTGCATGGATCAGAGCCAAGCCTCAGTGCAGCCTAAGAATAGAGGCTGTAGATTAAAGGAATAGCTTTTGATGTACTTTTTAACAAAGTTGGTTTTCAAGGGAACAGATGAGGCTGTGGACCATCTCTTCACTAGTGTAGATTCACTAAATAATGAAGTACTGAAGTGGCTTATGAATTTCTGAGTATACAGTACAGTACACTGACACAAATACCGTTTACCCTGTTTATAACTCCAGCTCTGTCTGGAGAGATTCTCTCTGTTGTGATGATTCGGGAACTCGCTGTCAGACTGAGTTGGACATGTTGTAGACCAGCAAGTATAATCTGATGCCTCTGAAAGTGTTCTGAAAAGTTTAAATAATGTGGAGGTACATCGCATCTTTTTTCAGACTCTTTTATTTACTGTGTGACAGAGATAATATAGTATATGCTGTTGTAGCAGAGCTTTCTGTGATGGTTTCCTGTTTAAGAGGAGACCGTTAATGTTTATTTATTTATGAATGAAGTTTAATCATGAGAAGAGAACTGTAATCAGATTTTCAAATAAAAACATGAAAAAAGGTAACATATAGGTGACATATAATGAAATTCTGACTTTTTTCATGTTTAAGTGCTATAATCAGGTCCCCAATGCATCTACCAACAAATGTAAAAAAGAGCAACCCAGTAATTTTTTTTTTTTTTTTTTTGGTAAGCCTTTCTCTGCAAGCTTGTGAAAAAACGAGCTCAGAAAACCGTGTATCAGAAGTTTAAACTGATATGGCTTAAAAACGCATGATTTCAGCGCGATAGACATGATGATCAAAACCAAAAAATTTTTTGGCAGAGTATCTGAGATACAGCTTTAAAGGAGTAACCCTGTTCTGGAAAGGGGGTGGGGAGCAGCAGCTCATTTGCATTTAAAGAGACATGCACGAAAACAGCATGTTCCTGCTTCCACTCAAAATAGGCCTTTTCAAAATGATATAATAAATGATCTGTGGGGTATTTTGAGCTGAAACTTCACAGACGCATTCTGGGTACATCTGAGACTTATATTACATATTTTAAAAAGGGGTCTAATAGGTCTCAAGTCATATACACCTAGGATGACTTGAGGGTGAGTAATTTGTGGGCTAATTTAAATTTTTGGGTGGACTAACCCTTTAAGTCATATCTATGATCTAGAATAGCAGTGCACTACAAACCACGCCTTTCAACCCTAGAAACTGCAAAGATACACTAAAAACCACCTTTAACACCCTAGCAACCACATAGCAACGCACTAAAAACCACCCTATACCAACCATACAGAAACACATTAGAAACCACCCCTAACACTCTACCGCATATAAACTCAATATGACAATATGCATCTAGAAGAGAGGTGCTGAGGTGATGTATTTCAAATGCGTCTGCTGTATTCTTTTTCATTTGATGACAGAGTTGATCGCAATTGCTTTAATTTATTTCAGAAAATCCTTCCCATCACAGCATGCAACGCTGGCATCCTTTGCTGCCGTGTATGTCTCGGTGAGTAAAAGTCAGTCATTCAGAAGCATTCAGGCACTTTCAATTCACTGTGTTGTTAGAGACTGATAAAAATTGGAGCTGCACTCGTGTCACCTTCTGTGCAAAACTGACCCTGATGTGTGGATAAAAGGACAGCAGCTCTCCACTGTAATTTGTGCGGCAACATCCAGATGCCTTCATGCAGTTTAGTGGAGCTTGTCAAAGTAGCGAAATGGAGTGTTGGCCCATTTGAGCCGCGTGTGTGTGTGTGTGTTTTTGTGTGTTTGTGTGTAATTATCCATTTGAGGGTAGGAATACATTTGAGTCTTTACATTTTTCTCTTTTTTCTTCTTGTCATGAACTATGTGCACATTATATAAGCTAACAGAATGCCAGTAAAGGCATTTAGATTTGCATATGGATTTATAAATTGGGTATTCTAGGCGTCATAAGAATGTGTGTTTACATGCACCAATCTTACACCACTTATACATAAAGAGCTAAAAATTTGTAAAGTGTAAACACCTTTACTGGTAGGTGGCAGGTTATTTAAGTTTTGTCTGTTTAAGTTTTAATGTCAAACCCAGAGATCAAAAAAACTTGATCTCAAGTGTGGTTTTCAGTCTATATAGCTCTTTTCTCAAGCTCAAGGTCATTTGATTCATTATATAAAACAAAGAATCTGTTATTTATAATGAGCTGAGATACTCAATGTGCTTTTGCTTAAAGCGCCTATGAATTTGCCTGATAAAAGAGCACAGTTTAAGCTGTTGAAATGACCTTACACATTGTCATCTTATGTACAGTCAGTCTAATAATCTTGAGTCAGTGGGTGGTGACTCATGTCTCTGGGAACCGTACCAACCATCTCACGACTCTGGGGTTTACCAAGTCACAAAATGTGCTTCAGTGGTGTAGCGATAATGATACACTCAATCAGCTGAATCATGTTCCCTGTGGTTAATTAATTTGGTTTGAAGATTCTTATAATTATCAAAGTGTGTATGAATTTTTTTGCAGTGCAAATGTTATGGTTCTGGCTCCCTACCTGATTCTGCTTTGGCTTGGAAACATCACAAAACATCTGTGATCTTGATCGTCTTTTTCTTGTGCAGATGTATTTCAACAGCACGCTAACAGACTCATCCAAACTGCTGAAGCCTCTTCTGGTGTTCTCCTTCATCATCTCTGCCATCATATGTGGCCTAACCCGCATTATTCAGCACAAGAACCACGCTATTGATGTTTACCTGGGCTTCCTGCTAGGAGGGGGCATCGCTGTTTATCTAGTGAGATGAATATAAGCAGATTATCATATATTTAATAGCATTTTAAAGAAATTTCACAAGACAAAGTGTCTTGGAAATGCAGTTTACTTGCATGTCTAAAACATAAAACATGGACACCATGATTTAGTTAACTAGGACATGTTCCTGGATCAGACTTTTGTTGGTTCTGGAACAACATTCCCATCAAACAATCATAAGCCAAGCTCTAACACTGCCCTAAAATCAGAGGGAATCAGACATTTTTTTCATGCTCCAAACTTAAGCCCTAAGCCTAACCCTAAAATCGAACTAGTTGACAGAAAACTTGTTCCAGGACCAAAAAGGTAATTGTAATTTTTTTTCACGCTCCAAACTCAAGCCCTAACCATAAAATTGCTCTAACACTGCCCTAAAATCAGAGGGAATCAGACATTTTTTTCATGCTCCAAACTTAAGCCCTAAGCCTAACCCTAAAATCGAACTAGTTGACAGAAAACTTGTTCCAGGACCAAAAAGGTAATTGTAATTTTTTTTTCATGCTTCAAACTCCAGCCCTAAGCCTAACCCTAAAATCGAACTAGTTGACAGAAAAGCTGTTCCAGGACCAAAAAGGGTATTCAAATTTTTGCATGCTCCAAACTCAAGCTCTAAGTCTAACCCTAAAATCAAACTAGTTGACAGAAAAGTTGTTCCAAGACCAAAAAGGTAATTGTATTTTTTTTTTTCATGCTCCAAACTCAAGCCCTAACCATAAAATTGAACTAGTTGACAGAAAAGTTGTTCCAGGACCAAAAAGGTAATTGTAATTTTTTTTTTCATGCTCCAAACTCCAGCCCTAAGCCTAACCCTAAAATCAGACTAATTGACAGAAAAGCTGTTCCAGGACCAAAAAGGGAATTGGAATTTTTTTCATGCTCCAAACTCAAGCTCTAAGTCTAACCCTAAAATCGGATTAGTTGACAGGAAAGTTGTTCCAGGATTAAAAAGAATATTGATCCAGGAACATGTCCCACTCAAGTAAATTGTGTTACCCAAACCATTATTATTAAAGGGTTAGTTCACCCCAAAATGAAAATTCTGTCATTAATTACTCACCCTCATGTCGTTCCAAACCTGTAAGACCTTCATTCATCTTCGGAATACGAATTAAGATATTTTTGATGGAATTTGAGAGCTCTCTGACCCTCCCATAGACAGAAATGCAACTGCAATGTTCCCAGGTCCAGAAGCGTAGTAAGGACATTGGTAAAACAGTCCATGTGACATCAGTGGCTCAACTTCAATTTTGTGAAGCTACAAGAATACGTTTTGTGTGCAAAGAAAACTCAAACCAGCAGCCATGCTTCAAAACATACCTAACTAGCATATGCTGTTTTTTTTTCAACAGGGAAATAACAACTTTATTCAACAATTCTTCTCCCCCGAGTTACTATCTTCCACCATTTGAGAGAATCACAACGCATACGCACGTTTAACCGTAAGCGTAAACAACGCTGATTACGCCGATTACATTCATGTGCGCGCTTTCCCCCCCGAACGTAAACAACGCTGATTACGTTAATTACATTCTTGGGTACTCTCCAAAATGGCAGAAGACGTAACTCGAGGGAGAAGAATTGTTAAATAAATTGCTATTTTTGTTTTCTTTGCACACAAAAATTATTCTCGTAGCTTCACAAAATTGAAGTTGAGCCACTGATGTCACATGGACTGTTTTACCTTACTACATTTCTGGACCTGGGAACATTACAGTTGCATTGCTTTCGATGGGAGGGTCAGAGAGCTCTCAGATTCCATCAAAAATATCTTAATTTGTGTTCCGAAAATGAACGAAGGTCTTACGGGTTTGGAACGACATGAGGGTGAGTAATTAATGACAGAATTTTCATTCTGGGGTGAACTAACTCTTTAAGTATGGTAGGAAATACAATTGAAATACTGTGTTTTGTCCATCCAGGGTTTGTTTGCTGTAGGAAACTTCCAACCGAGCAAGGAGAAACAGACAAGTCAGCTTCACATTCGCGATTCTCATCGAACTATGGCTGACCTTTGCCAGCAAGGTCACCACCTACCTGCCAAGAGCTGCAGTGGCAGCGATGGTCTCTCATCTTCCTGCTCCGAGGGCATCCTGCATCGCAACACCCAACACCACCAGGCTGGATCTCTTAGCAGCCTGAAAAGACCAAGTGGAGATGTGGAGGTCATCACCTGCAGTCCTCCACACAAGGAGAACATGGTGACCTTCAACACCTTGCCCAGAGTGCATATGTCTGCCATGGACGAGTCTGCTTTCCGCAACGCCACTATCCACACCTCCTCGGTAGATTCGAGTCGATCGAAGCAGCTGCTGATGCAATGGAAGAGTAAGAACGAGAACCATAAACACTCCCTGCATGCCATGGAAGGCGGACCAGGACTGTCCCCTCCAAACAGCATGGATGTCCGCTGCAATTCCGAACCCTTTTCTGTGGGAATCAACGGTGAACATCAGGGACCTGGAACCCCATACCTAAAAATGGCCACTGGAAGTACAACACTACCAAGCAACCCCAGTGGAATTGCTGGCGGTGCTCGGATACCCATGCAGTCTCGGCCTGGTTCCTCGCAGTTGGTGCACATCCCAGAGGAGACACAGGAGAACATGGGTGGCTTGCCAAATACCAGTAATGCCCGTGACAAATGGCTTAAAAGCATAGAGAAGACTGGGGAGAAGGGTGGGGAGGTACCGGTGATTAGGACTAACTCTAATGGCCAGCCGCGCATCATGCAGGTCATTGCAATGTCCAAGCAGCAAGGTCTCCTGCAGGGGAGCTCTCCCAGTTCTGAGAGCAGCAGCCACACCAGCTCCACTGCACCTCTGCAGCGCTACAAGAGCCTAACTGAGGAGTCTGGAGGTCAAGGCAGCACTGGAGCCATCATTCGGGTGGAAGCCCATCCAGAGAACGGCCGACCCCTGGTGCATGCGCACTCCACGGATGGAAGTGGCTCCTGGACATGGAAGTCCCAAAGCAGCCTCAGACAGTCATTTGAGCTCAATGACTTGAATCGAGACTCGGAGAGCTCAGAATTCGTGAGGGATGGGAACAGTTCTACGGACAGAAAGAAGAATGGCTCTAATGCTCCTAAAGTCGTCGCAGTGCCAACTGTCCCTACTTTATCTACAGCAGGTAGTGACCACCATCCCAACCAGACCATTTCCACCATCCGGGTCACTCCCATGGAAATGACTGAATCTGGTCCAGAGAGTCGCGATTCGAGCTTGCGCAGAAAAACCAGGATCCTTATCCCTGAAAGAGGAAACAGTCCAGACAATACCAGGAATATTTTTTACAAGGGAACATCCACCACCCCAGTTTTCAAAGAGTAGTCAGTAATTATCTTGACACAAACAAAAAAATGAAGAAACCAGAAGAGGTTGGGTGTTGTGTAGACACATATGCTATGTTTTACACATCTCCAATGGCATCACCTGCAAGAAAAGCACAAAATCCAGATTTTGGTCAGAATTTTGTTTACTTTTGTGATAACGACATTGTAAACATATGACAGTATATCATATGGAAATGGTCTTACCTTTAGTGAAACACTGTGAAGCTGGAACTGTGACCGTGCCAAGATTGAACTGCAACACTGTATTTAAGTATTTAACATCTCAGATATCTTAAAAGATTTTCCATATAGTCATACTTCCACTTATTTATACACTGATAACTATGCTAGCTGAAACTCTTATTTTTGTATTCTATAAATAACTTTTAAACTTGGTGCTGCCCAATTCTGAGAACATTATGTAAAAACAAAAAGTTAAGAAGAAAATAGAAAAAAATAGTGCAGTGCACTCTTCTGAAAACTGTCATTTGAAATTTCTTATGACCATAAGTGCTTGGAATATTCTCTGTAGCAAATGATAGTCATTAAATGACATGCACTTCACGTTTACTACTTGCAATACAAATACTTTACATACTGTATGTACTGTATCTGTAGAAATTTGCACGTAAAATGCACATTCATGTATATTTTATTAGACACATAATATTGTATGTATCGGTGTCTATCCAAAAGAGAAAAATAAAAAAGAACTACATTTTACGTACAAATACCAATGAATACTAATGAGATTTCCATACTTCCATTTAAGACTATTATTGTGAAAAAACAACAACATTATTATTGCACCTAATGTCTGTCTTCCACTCTTTTCTCAAATGTATATTTGCATAACAGAATTCATTTTACTTGTTTCCCTTCAAATAATTCTGAATTTATGTCATAGTTATTTAAAGGTTAGCTGCATTAGTAGCAAAACGATATTCCACGTTGATTTTCTAACTGTGGTTATTCCACTGTGAGCTCCAGCTTTTTAGGCCAAACAATCATATTAAATGTTTTATACTGTATACACTTGTGTAGCCGCACACTAAAAAAAAAATTTAAATGGCTTTACTGTTCACAAAGAGATTTGCAATGAGTGAGAAGTGGCTCATTAAATCTAGTGTCAGCTGTTAAAAACTACAGCAGTGACATTTAATTCCATGATCATTTACTGTGTAATTTTTTATAAACTGTAAATGAATGTGCCAAAGGGTATTTTAAACGGAAGATTCAGTTTTGAAACATTTCTATAGAAGTCTGTATTCTTATAAACCACAAACTCTTTCAGCACAGCTATAGCCAGTGCATGGTAGTTTGATATTTCACATTTATTTTTGGTTTCCTTTTTGTAAATTATGCATTTGTGTAGCAACTGCGTATGTGATTATTTATACTGAATATAAATGACTTGTTGACAATCTTTATAGATAAAGTCACACCAGAATACACTGTATGTTATCTCTAACATGTCGAGAGATTGTTTGGATACCCGTTAATGTGCGCTAACGATTTTAGAAATGCATTAAGCATGCTGGTAGCAGTTTGTGTTTTCTGAGGAAAGTTTTACTCTGTAGCACTCTGTGTAACTGTCATCGACACAGTGACATGAGGTTCAGTTTGGATAGGAATGAATCCAGTTGAACCTGTTGCAGTGATGTTACGTGTTAATGTTGCAGCGACCAGACAGAAAAATAATGTCAAACTCTGTTAATGTATGTCACCTTTGAGAATACAAACAGTTTGTTTCTATCGTTACATGGTTCTGTTTTACTCCAGTAAACAGGGTAGATGAAGAAAAACTGTGCTGTATCAGTGTTTGAATAAACATTTGTCATTTAAAACTGCTGAGTCTCTTCAATAATGAATTGGCTGCACATTTGTAATGGCACTTTCCACAAATAAGGCACAAAAACTCTTTTAAAAATGGCAAATTAACTATTACAAATGTTCTGTTTATTTTACTTGAGCTATGCCTTTATTATTGAATGCAATATAATGTCCGAATACATTTAAAAACTCAATATGATTTTAATAATTTTTTAACAACAATACTGACTAAACAAAAATACAATAATTTATTTATTTTTAAAATAAATCAAATAAAAAGTCATATTAAATAAAAAAATGTAAATACATTTTTTTATTTTTGCAGTTCATCAGATTATCCCAAAATTATAACACCATGACATATTTAATTTTTGGATACTGTCAACTTCTGGACTACTGAACTAGGACTTAAATGGCGAAATTGGAATGGGATGCTATTCCTGGAAAGTGCCTCATGTTTCTTCATCACTACTGTCATAAAAATGTATAAATATTATGGTGTGAGAATGATTTCTCTGTCAGCTGAGAACAGTCAACAGCCATACACGAATATGACAGACTGTGGTTCGAATACAAATTCAGGCGTAACAAGTTTAAATCATTGCCTGTGGTCTTTCGTCCATCCTCGAAAATTAGCACGGTTAGATAACTCACATCCTTTCCTCTACACCATCCTACGTCTCCTGCATTAAGCAAACCAAAGCTGGCATGCAGCGCTTTATCCATGGCTATACATTTAATGAGGATGTTTTAAAAGAAACATTAATTTCACACCAGATCAAGAACGCGCGACGCCACACAAACACATACACAAGCTCCCTTCATGATCAGGAAACGCTGGTCTCATTAAGACTGCCATGTGTAATTATCATCGTACAGTATAAAGTAGGTCAGTGAATTGACCTAAATTGAATGCGAGCGCTGCCAGATACAACTTATCTCTTATGAACTGATAAAATAAACCAAACAAAAATAAAACTATATAAACTTAACAATGGAAGCTCTGGATCACACAGAAAAACTTTTGTCTAGCCAAAACATGTAAAGTAGTGGTTGTCATTTTCAAGTCTCCATTCTCTAAACATCATGACTCAAACAGAATCGCTAATACATAATATACATAATCTTACGAAAAAGAACCATATAAACATAATTTAAGTGTACAGCTAGTTAGTAACCACAAGTAAAACTACAAATAAATACCACAGTACCATGCTAGTTAGGGTAAGGTAAGGGAAAGCCATGTTTATTTTCAGCCTAACTTACTTCAATACGGTACTTCTTCAAAATCAGCCAACATCATTTGTTTAAATCCTAGTCTGTACTACTTGTGTGTTCAGTTAACATATGGGAGTGCTAACCGGGAAACTATTAAGCTACAAGATCTTGAAATCTGTGTAGCTAACATGCTAAAGCTAATGTGGGCTGTGGGTTCCCAAGGAAATGACAGGTTCTGAATGCAAGCAACTATTGCCTTTGATTTATTTCGTGTCTGAAAGATGAGGAATTTAGTTTTGGATAGGTATTGTTGAATAATGTATTGGATATGAATTAATAATTAATGTGATTTGCTTGACATTCAAACTGATACAATAACAGTGGGATGAAATATGCATAACTGATACAGTAGATGGAAATAAGAATGATTGTTCAGGTGTTGGCAGAACTTCAGAGAGCATGCACATCTGAAATCAGAGGGCATGAAATTCATAAATAGAAATAGCTGAAGACCTTAGTGGTATCATGGATATTTTAACAACTTTGATTAAATGTCCACTTTTTCACAAATCACGCAATTTGAGCAATTGTCATCTAACAAAAAAAATAATAAGGTATAACATAATAAAAACTATTGCTTCTTCATAAATAAGATATTATTTAATATATATAAATAATACAAAATAAATGTTATATTAAACGGGGTTGCAGATTTAGCCTAAATTAAGGTATCATTCAGTAGGCCTACCGGGGAAAAAGTGCCAAAAATACTTGATGAAGCTACCTGTTAGCCATTTGCATTTTCATTCATCTCAATGGTAGTTGGTTGGCTGGCGCAGCATGTCCTTGCCATCTGTGCTCACCCATTATCTGGATTTTGTACACAATAAAATGTTTCATTTGTTGTAAATGCATGGAAACCAGTGATAAAATGCGTTGCACAAATTCGAACATCTGGGTTGTGCTGTTCTGTTGTAAATAAATCTTAACCAATGATTCCTAATTGCATCTACTTCCGGAAGGCCAAATAAAGTGCTTTTGCTTTTTAAGAGTCAAAAGTTTGACTCTTAACGTTTATAAAGAATATCTCTTTGGTTTTGAGACTTTAGTCTTTGCAACTTTACAGATCTTCTTTATGCACCAAGAGCTTGTAACACTCCAAAGAGAAAGGAAAACTTGAAATCGCATCATATGACCCCTTTAAAATTTTCTCATGAATGACATTAGGGTGAGTGCATAATGACTGAGTTTTCATATTTGGATGAACTACTCCTTAAAGTAAGGTTAAGTTACGTAAATTGTGAAATTTACATGCCAAATTGATGTCCTTGTTTTAAAGCTGCAACCATCCAATGCCATTAGAAATTGAAATGCTAATGAATGCCCTTTAAGTGCAGCAGTGACCTTAATGGAACAACCATTTGTCAGCATCACAGTTTATTTATACATCGCTGATTTTATATTTACCTCACAGCATATGAGCTCTGAAAGGTCAAAACTTCATATCATGTTGTATAGGATATGGGCAGAAATGGCACAGGGGCAGCTGGGAAATGAAACAAAGACCTGATTGTGAAAGCTAGTTGTTTGTCCAATTTGAAATACACATGGTATCTTCACACTTTGGGTGATATTTTGACATACCCACAATGACCTGTGGGTATGTATGGATCAATACACAATGTAGAATGCAATTGATTACAGCATTAAAGATGCTTCAAATATTTACTGCAGTCTGTGTCCAACAGCTTTTACTAATGGAACACTGCAACTGACCAGGAACATTCAGATTTGAAGCCTAACTGACAGAAAGCTATTCTTTAAGTGCATGTCACATTAGTGAAACTTTCGCAGCAGGCAAACGTCCACTGCACATTATCAATGGTGTAGCGATAGTCAGAGGTCACTATTCCAAATAAGCAGCTTCAAAATGGCCCACTGCATGTTCAAAGTTTAACAAACTTGTATCCATTGTGAAATCCACATGCCAAAATTCCAGATTGCATAAATTTCCTGTTTTGCCTGCCGAATTTCTCTTTACAA